TATCTCATTCCTCCAAGTAAACCATAAAATGTTACTGATGTGATTAAACCATTTTATCTCATCCTATCTCATTCCTCCAAGAAAACAAGGTCTTATGTATTTGACAAGCACGCATTTAAAATACTTAAAACAAATCTTGAATAAACGGGCATAAGTTCTACATATTTCCTTTTCTCTCTATTAACTCGGTTTCCCAAATTTCTCAAAAAAACTAACCTAAGTAAATCCCGTCGGCCTCCTCCTTGGCGGGGGCTCTGCATCGCCGTGCGGCCCGAGCATCCTGCTTCCCGTCGAATAGTGGTCTCTCAAGCGGTTGGAGTACCATTGGGAGACGACATTGTCTCTGGGCGGGGTCTTCGGTGCGCGGTGGTTCTCGGCTTTCGACAGGGTTGTCGGTCGTTTTTTGCTCCGATCCCTGTCTGTCGAAGGTTGGAGCCGAGATTACGCTCCTATTTCCCCTGTTCTTTTGATCCACTGGGGTGGGGCAGTCGATTGAGGCTGGCGGTGGGGGTCGCATCTCCGGTGGTTGGACGTCATGGGCTACGGGTGGTTGGGGAGGTGTTAGGAACTTGGGGCTACCTATTCCCACCTTCTTTTCCCGGCACTCCTGGGGTTGGGTGTTGGGCTGCCACAGTGGAGCTGCGGCGTTTGGCTCAAGGGGTATGCGGGCTTTGGCTGCTGGAGTGTGAGGGTATGTGGTCGGGCTTGATGCGGGCTTGCCGGTATGGGGGTAGATTGTTGTGACGAGGCGTTCGGGGTTGGGGTGTCGGATTTTGTTAGGCCTTATGCAGTTTCAGGTTCGACGCTTTATTCTGGACTTCTGTCGTGTGAGTGGTCTCTCTCGGCGGTTGGTGGTGGGGTGGTCGTGGAGTTGCTCGTCGGTTGGGGAGGAGGGCTTTCACTTCATTTAATTTTGTTGTGTTTCTAGTTGTTGTTAGGTTTTTGTTTGCCCAGGCCCATCTTTTGGCGCTATTGGAGTTTGATGATTACCTTGGGTGGGCTCGATCGCATTATGATTGCCATTCAGGGTGGATATCGAACAAATTCTTTGGTGTGCTGCGGGAGTGGGATTGTATAGTTATGGTATAGGCTTTG